TGGTGGGTGGCCGCCGACACTGACATGCTGAGTGTGGGCATCTATAAGGTTTCCAGGCGGATCTGCCCGGGGGCAGCTGGAAATAGAGACCTGGGCTTAGGAGAGGGGTCTGGGCAGGAGGCGGAAGTCAAGGTAATAAGTGTTGATGCTACAGTTGTGGGCAGCAGCCCACGCGGCAGGATAGCGGGGGTGAGGTGCCGGCTGCATGGCGAGTCCTGGCAGATGCTGGAACAGCTCACACCCAAACCAGGAAGGATAAGCGGGGAGATTGTGATGATCAATTTCAACATCAAAGTAAGTCCTAATTCTGTACTCTGCTGTCCTCATATAGGAGTGTGCCAGAAAGGCAGCCCTCTCAGCATGCTGGAAAGGGAGGAACAGGCAACTGTTACTAACAGTGAGAGATGAGCAGAGGAGTCAGCACGTATCTACAGAGGCACATGCTGGGAATGTGGGCATCTGGAAGCAACTGATGACAGGTTTGCGTCCTTGAAGACGATGACAACAACAACATGGTCCTTTAACCCAGGCTGGCCTCAAATTTTCTACTTAGCTAAGGATGACCTTGAACTTTTGATCCCTCCGCCTCCTGCCCTGAAAGTTGGGAGTATACATGTGCACTGCAATGCCTAGTTTATGAAGTACTGAGGCTCAAACCTGGGGCGTCACGCAGCCTGTGCCCTGTCCCCTTATTGCCCCTCACCTGGGTACATCTGTAAAAGTGAAAGACTCCCCTAAGCTGGCCTTTCCTCCTGGCCAGTGGAATATTCAGAGTGGAGACGTCTGTCTCGAGTTGCTTTGATATCACGCACCTGAGTTTAACAGGAGTTTGAAGTCTGCTGCCAAGTCTATTTAAAAGTACCTAGCAAGAGCTGCCAGGAACTTAATAGGAGGTGTTTAACCAGCCACATTGGGGGAGGGGGGGGTGAAGAGGCGGAGGGAAAGAAAGGAGGAGGGAGGGAGAAGAGAAAAGAAAGCAGTGGGGGGAAAAGAAAGGAGAAAAAGAAAGGGAAGAACAGGGAGGAAAAATATATTTTGTATACTTTAAGTAATTTTATATTTATTTCCTAACTAGAAATTCTTCTGTGCCCATTGCATAAATTGTTCAATATAAGAAAACTATTTCAGCAAACCTCAGACACATATAAAGCTGTATAAAGTCTGCAAGTTTGCCCTATGTTTTCACACTGGACAAACAAACAAACAAACACGGACAACACAAAATACATGGCCACCACCGTGAAAAATCAATAGAAAGTTTTTTAAAAGTAAATGTTAATTGTGTATGAGTGCGTTCATGCGTGCGTGTATGTGTGTGTGTGTGTGTGTGTGTGTGTGTGTGTGTGTGTGTGTGTAATGCAAAATCGATGCCTCTATGAATCATCAAGGTTATTCATGTTTGGAACAATATTTTGACAGACTGGCAAAAATAAAGTCTTAATACGGAATAGGGTGTGATGAGTGTAATGAGACAGGAGGCAGATGAGGTTAGGAAGAAAAAACAAACAAACAAACAAACAAACACCTGTTCTCCGTCTGGAGAACTGTTTGTTCATGCTGGTTGGTGCAATGTAGGTGACGTCAGGACCTTTATGCAGTGGAGACCCAACCGTGCTCAAGGAGAGCGCCCCCGACTTCCCTGGAACTGCTCTGGACATGCTGCGTGGAATGCTGGGAAAGCTGTTCCCGCATCAGCTCTGCGGGAGCGCAGCTCTCTGGAAATCCTTCAAGAAAGGATTTCTAAGACCTCATGCCTGGTGGGTGACCGCCCTCACCGCCCTCCCAAGGCGTTCTTCTGAACTCTGTGAAGGAGGACACGAGCTCCAGGCTTGTTTCAGTTGCCTTGGGGAGGCGGGAACAAACAAGCGTTCTCCCCAGACCGGACAGTAATTAATTAATGAAAAGACCAGAGGAACGACCCGCCTAGTGCAGCTTGTAACCCCTCAGCCTACGAGCTGGAGCAAGAGTGAGGGAGAGCTTGTGGGAGCGTGAGTTACCCGCAAACAGCAGCATCAGTGAGAAACCTAACGCCAGCACGGGTGAGGAGTTCCTTCCAGCTGCAGTGTCTCCTTCATTTACCCTTCCTGGATCCACGTGCAGAAGGATGTACTGCTGGGAGGAGGTACAGAGCGAGCTGTCGGGGTGTGACAACCCTCCCACCCTCCTTTGAAGCGGAAGGTCACAAGGCTTCCTTGTAGGGGAGGGCGATCTCCCGATCTCCTGCTGATACCCACAGTTACTCTGACTAAAGTGGAGATGACTGTTTTGTTTAGAGAACAGGGTCCCACAATCTAGCATGGAAAGCTCTGGTTCCACCCCCGACCCTGCAAATTTGAAAATAAAACAAAATAAAGCGTCATCATTTTTTTTTTTTTTTCTTAAAAAGGGAGAAAACGTAGCAGGTAAGTGCTGTACCCGGTGTTTTCTTTCCCACAGAAGGGGCAATCTTCACCAAAGGTGTGTCCCTTGCCGCTTTCAGGCCCTCGCGGAGAAGGAGTCTAGCGCGCAGCGTTAGAAAGGCTGAGAAACCGTGCCCTAGAGCACAGCACAAACCAGTCAATATCCAGCTAGGTGGCCCATGAGGCTAGTCCTCAAAGGACTGAGCATTGAGTGAGCTCAGGAAAGATACCTGTGTCTCCCTCTTTGGCCATCAGACCATTGACACAACGGAGGGACCCCAAGGAATTGGAACTGTCTTTCTGTTCTTCCCAGTGGAGCACCTTTGGATAAATACCTTTTCTCTGCCTTAATTGCCCTGTTTAATTGGTTCTTCAGTTGGTCAGTGGAGGACAGGTATTTATACCTGACCTGTTAGGGCTTCTGGGGCCCCGCTTTTGACCTCAACAGCTAGGCAGTAACACGAGTCAATTCAAAACTACTGATATAATCCACACTATAGCTGCCTCCCTTCTGAAAAGTATAGTTAATGATTCCACAGAAAGATCGTATATTAAACCTTCAGAAGAAATGGCGGGACAATTAGAATCTAAACAGAGTTTCTCAGAGACATTGAACACTCAGTACTCCTCTCTCCAGTTGCCTGGGATTCTTTCCTGCCTTTCTCTTACAGTGCTTAACAGACTAGAGAGAAACATGGCTTAAAAGTGTCTACGGTAGGAGGTGTCGCTTACGGGTTTAGAACACACTATATGACACCCTGGATGAAAACAGAAAATTTGAAGGACAAATGAGTGTTCTAACCCTGAGTCCTAGCTCAGTTCGTTTGTTTGTTTGTACTGTATAATAATCACCCTTCCCTCCCTTACACGGGCTCAGGCTCTGGTAACCATGATTCTGCTCTGCATTTCACCAAGAACTGTTTTAGCTTCCATGCTTTTACTCTTCATTTACACAATAAGGATAGTGGGCAGCTGTTCTCTCAAACTCTGGGTTTGTACTTGGCATTTATTTATTTGACACAGGTTTCTCTGTGTAGCGCTGGCTGTCCTAGAACTCCCTCTGTAGACTAGACTGAACCCAGAGATCTGCCTGTTGCCAGTCTCCACCTCCTGAGTGCTGAGACTAGAGGCACGTGCCACTATGCCCAGTCATGAGCACATTCTCCATCTCCTATTTTACTCACTGGTATGCCTGTCCCGGCCTATTGTTATACACATTCCCATTAGCAGGCATCTTGGTCATACAGGAACGTTCTCACTACATATTTTTAAAGGGGGGAGGGCAACTTCTCTTTTGTCTAGTTTTCTTTTACATCTGTATTCAGTTTTACAGCCCATCTTGCTTCCTGAGAATGATTTTCTGCAGCTTCTTTAGCCCTTGTTGCCTAGATTTTAGCAAGTATTACCTTACAGTTGAAAAGGCATATTCTTTTCTGGATGTTTTCCCAGTACCTGGATCCCCAGGCCTTTGCTTACTTACACTAAGCAGGCACTCTACCCTGAGCCCACAGCTGCCTAAAAGGGCTATATCAAAGCTCCTCCTTTTCTTCAGTTCCTTGTTTTCCTTATTTTGCCCAGTAATGTGGTAGCTCCACACAGACTCCCCCAAACATTCACTGAGATTGAGACTAGCAGCACCACAGGAGCACAGAGCTGTACTCATACTTACACCTTTAACGCTTGGCAGGAAGAGTTCTAGTTATAGAGTTAGCAGTCATTTGCAAGAGCTAGACGCTAAAAACAAAGAGCAAAGTCTTTGTGAGTGAGATTTTGCTAGACTGGAAAACAATTTTATCATAAGAAAACAAAGCCGCCCTGAAATCTTCAGATCACCTCTGATTGCTTAATCCATGCTGGAGTAAGGAACCAGGCAGTGGGCTGGGTAAGAGGAATGGCTAAGACTGTGGAAGGCAGAATTACAGGGCTAGGGCTGCTGCGCTCAGGTAAAATGTAGTGAGATCCTGGTTCCATCTGAAGCACCGAAACACACACAAACACACACGAGGCAGCTATTAGTTGAATTAGGTATGGGGGGAGGGCGAGAGGGAGAGGAGGTTATTGCTTATCTAAGGAACTTGAATATGGCGATCAAAAGTCTGTTTTCTTCTGTTTTTATTTCGTTTTTGTTTGTTTGAAACAACCTTAACAGGGCAGCCAGGCTGGTCTCAAACTCCTGGCTTCCCTTCCGCCTCAGACTTCCCACTGCGGGGATCACAAGCGTGTGCAAGTCCCTGCTCTGGTGTGAATTCTGAAGGAGTTCATCAGCGCAGAGGCCTTTGGGAGGGATGTACCAACAGCATCTTAACCGAGACTGCTCTAAAGTTGAGTCTGAGTGCAACGTAGACACAGAATTCCGTTTGCACAAGATGGGCACGGGCCAGGAGGGCGAGAGAAACGGGTTTACGAGACAACTGCTACTGCAACGGCCGGCCATAAAGCTGTGAGAATACCGCGGCTACCGGAAGGTGACCTCCAACTTCAGAGAGCGGGGGAGTGCGTGTACACACTCCAGCCTTGTCCTTGAAGGGGATTGAGCGAGCCGAGGGGAGGGAAAGACTCGGCTCGGGTTTCCAATCACAATAGAGAAAGCTGGGAGGCTGGAGGGCGGCGGCCCCGCCTCCTTCTTGCCGAGCTAGCGTCGGCCGAGCAGCCTGCTGACTTCGCGGTGGTTCCCCTGCTTCAGCGCGCTGCAGAGCCTCCTCAGGTCTGGTAGGTTTGAGCCCAGGGTCCCAAACCTGACTCACAGAACAACAGGATGTGTGATGGGGGCAGGGAGTGCAGAGGGGTAATTGGCGGAACAGGAGGAAGGAGCTACGACACATCCACCCTTTGGGGTCTTTGCCACTGAGCATCCCCGCTCTGACCTCTTGCTTCCTGGCGGGTTTGGGCGGCCGGCCGAGGAAGCCGAGGTGGGTAGGAGCTGAAGCTGAGCTCCAGGCTGAGTCTGCACCCTGCAGGCTGGTCCCGGGCCTGTGTACTATCAGGGGAGAGACTTGCTACAGATGTACGTCAAACCTGGTCTCACCAAGTCTTTCCTTGGTCGGCAGGTGGCGAGCCCATCACCCACCCGCTGGGGCGAAGGGCCGGGGTGCAGGCTGGGGACGCAAGCCTAGGTACCTGAGAAGCGGGCGGGGGCCGGTGTGTCCTGTGAAGGTCGGAAGGTCTGGCGCCTGGTGATAAAGGCCCCTGCGATTGGAGGAATGGGGAAGAAGGAAAGTTCGGTCCTGAAGACCAGACTTCATCCCTACCCCACCCCCGCCCCTCCGCCAACGCTGCCCGCCCAGCAGCCGGTACTTGCTGGGCCTCTTTCGAAGCTGTAGGGTTTTGTTTACTTCTTGTGCTCAGTGTAGAAGCCTAGACGTGCCCCTGGGGACCTTATTCGGTATCTGCGCTGGTGCCTCCCTCGCGACCTGCTTTGCAGAAGAGAAGTCGCTTGTGGGCCGCTCTGACCAGACCTGGGCGGGGGTTGGTGTTGGGATGGGGGTAGCGAAACTAGAGGTAAAGCCTGGGCTTTAACCGTTGACACAGGAGATACTCTGCAGATACTTAGCCTATAGCACCGATTCATGTCTAATGGTTCCTTTCCGACACAGATACGGGGGAAGGGAATGTGAGTGTTGCGGGGGAGGGGAACTGTGGCTTGGGTGTTTTTCCTGCTTATCTGCAGTCACCTCTCTGATTCCACACAGGCCTGCTACAGTGCAAACTATTTTGTTCTGCTGCAGGGGGTGGGGCGGCGGCGGGAGAAGTCACACTTTTGTGTGGATATGCGATTCCGCCTGTGCTCGCTGTATCTTCAACACTGTTGCTCTTGAAATTCCCCAAACTAATTTAAAATGTTTCAGGACAGCCCAGCTGGAGATAGCCACCTTTGCTTTCCCTTTTCGTCATCTTTTCCAGACAGGATCTCGGGAAGTTTGAGACTGTGGTGGAGGATGACCTTGACGTCTCCTGATCCTCCTGCCTTCACCTCCCAAACGTTGGGATTCAGGCCTTCCTAATGCTTTCTGGAGCCTTCCTAACAGATTTTAAGCCACCTAACCAAAATAAACTTGGAGTGGGCAGGCTTTGGGAGGCTTTGCTTTTCTTACTGAAGAGATGCGGCCACCCTGTTGAAGCCACTTAAAAGAAACGGCTTGTTTCAATCCCTTTAAAGATCAGGGCTTTATCCGCAGCCCTCACAAGGCATTTCATCTTTGCATCCACCAGAAGACTACAAATGTGATTCTCTAAGGCAAAAGAACCCCCGAAGCGGTACAGACTAGGGGAATGGTTGCAAAATAAGAAAAAAAAAAAAAAAAAAAAAAAAAAAAAAAAAAAAAAAAAAAAAAAAAAAAAAAAAAACAAGTTATGGAACAAGGTAGTTGTGATTGGCCCCAGGCACTTCATTCTGTACAGCTAAGGGTTCTTTACAAGGTTAACTAAGCCAGGTTTTTTCACTTAGCTCTTTACAGATTCGAAGTGAAAACAAGGTTACAGAAAGAACTGGCTGGGCTGTAATAAACTATGCTAAAAAGGAACAGACCAAATGAACAGATTACTAAAACTGATACTTCATTGTGTAGAAACTCTGTTAAGGAGGGCAGGGCAGAAGTCAGTCTTTGACCTCTAATCATTTGTAATGGGAATTATAATCATTCGCATTGGCTTTTAAAAGAAAACTTAAATATATGTTAGCTGGTTAACATGGCTACACATGAATTCCTTATCGGGGCAAAAGAAAGAAATTAGCCTATTTAGGTGTAAATATCTGTATCTTTTAGCCAATCGTAAGCAGCTGTAACAAAAGGTCCTAGAAGTGGTGACGGCAGCCTAATCGCTCACATGGAGGCCTGCGCTCGAGGAAGAATTTTGATTGTAAACTCCTGGGGAATTTTTGCATGAATTAAATCCTCCATTAAGTGAGATGTGGTTTCTTCAAATGTAGTCTGTACTTAGACTACCCTGAGACTTCCTGTTGAGCTGTGCTTTTCTTCAGAATTGAAGCTGTGACATTTTAGGCTAGTTCTCACTCTGATTCCATCCATGTAAAATTTATTGATCGGCCTTTTCTTTCAGGACAAGATGGCAACCCTTAAGGAGAAGCTCATTGCGCCAGTCGCAGAAGAGGAGACAGCTGTCCCGAACAATAAGATCACTGTAGTAGGTGTTGGACAAGTTGGTATGGCATGTGCTATCAGCATTCTGGGAAAGGTATGTTTTAAGAGCAACATAGGTCACGATTCCTGCAGAAATGCATGGTCTGTCTGAGCAGCCTGAGATCTGTGTTGTCTTCAGAGACCCTTCAGCCATCTGAAATAACTCGCAGGGATCGGGCTTACCTTTCAGTACTTGCACATGTATCAGAGGAAGATACGTGTGCAAGAAAACCACAATTGGAGCTGCTACCGGGCTTTCTCAACACTGCTATAGTATAGTGATGTCCCCATTATATCCATATTTAAAATTCATCCATTATCGCTGCTTTTACCGCAGACTCAAGATATTTTATATCCTTACCACATCACTTTTTTTCTGTTTCACAAGCCTTTGCCTTTTTTTTTTTTTAATGGTCTGGGTCAGTTTAATGGCATCCTCTTCAGGCTTTTCTGGTGTTTCCTTGTGATTAATCAGTTGTGTCTGTTGGGTGGCTCTGATGAGAAGGAACAGCCTGGTAGCATCTCATTTCTATGGTGATAAACCAAGGCCTGTGGCTGAATGAGTGACTGCAAAATTTAGATGCAATGGACCTGTCTTCTCTTCTTTTTAGGAGAGGTTTGTAGAGGGCTTATTGATCGTGGAAGACTGTCTTCTTATTCTCAAATGTGAACCTGTGACTTTAGTTTGAAATGATTTCCAAACTTAATAGAAAGTTTGTAAAATTCTCCTAATAAATGAACATTTCTGTGTGTATCTTTAGATTCACCCTCTGCATTTTGCAGCTCTCTTTCGCCCCTTTTCTCTCTTGCTCCCTCTCTGTATATGTAAGTGTATATGTGTACGTGTGTTCCCTGAACCATTTGAGAGTATCTTGGTGAGAGCAAGCTTTCTAAGTTCTCCAGCACATTTCTTCAGAACAGGACAAAGCCTTATGTAATTGTTGCAGCTCTCAGCATCCCTTTAATGCTGCCTTGTTGTCTTCACACTTGACTCTCCGTGTGTTGTCTACCTCTCTGGACTCCTGGCTGCCCTTGCAGAAACCCCTTGAGACCTTGCTTGTTCAGGCTTCCTTAACTGTAGGAAGAGGGAAAAGCAAGAAAGTAGCCCCTCCCACCCTTCCCCCGCCGTAGAGCACACTGACTCTTTGTGTGGAGCCTGCTTGAGTTCCTCTGACCAAGCATATTCCTTCTGCTTGTGAAGTTTAATGTGTTGTTGTTTTGTTGGGAATTGAGCCCAGGACTCTTCTGCATGCTAGGCGAGCATTCTACAAGTAACCCCCTGAGTTACATTCCCAGCCCTTTTTCTTTTTCTTGCTTTTGAGATTCTGTGTGTATCCTGTGCTGCCCTCAAATTGGCATCCCTCCTGTTCCCACCTCCTGAATGTTGGGGTTACTGGTATGTGCCGTCATGCCTGACCACAAACTTTAAGTTCCTTAATTTATTTCATGCATGTGGGTGTTTTGCCGGAATGTATGTTTGTGCACTTATGCCTGAGGAGGCCAGAAGAGGTTGTCAGATCCTCTGGAACCGGAGTTGTGAGCCACCATGTGGGTGCTGGAAATCTAAACTGATTCCTTCACAAGAGCAGCCAGTGCTCCTAACCACTCAGCCTTCTCTCCTGAGTGTAAACTTTAAGTTCTCAACGATCAAGTTGTGAATCTTTTAACTGAGAAATAGGTATCTGATGTCTATTCCTTTGCTTGTCTTTCTAAATACTTCTGATTTACTAGATGCCTATGATATGTGATAGTTTCTTGAATTATGGGGGTTTCAAATGGTCTTAATTTAGTGTTCAACTCCTACTTTGTTTAAAACAGCAATTGAGCTGACATTTCTCTGTATATATGTATACATATTTTATATTCACATAAAGTTAAAGAAAAATAATTTAAAGATTGGAGTCAGGCATGATGGCACGCACCAGTAATCCCAACATTCAGGAGGTGGCAGCAGGAAGGATCACAAGTCTGAGGACAGCATGGGATATATATAGAATCTCAAAAGCAAGAAAAAGAAAAACATATGCACAGTGTAAAGGTGCCATGTACAATACTATTAAAATGCTTTATTCTAAATAATCTATAGATTTAAAAAAACAAAAAACCTCTTCTCTCTTTTTGTGTGGTCTGTTACTGTATTGCTGTGAGGTCTCCCTCTGAAAGCCAGGCTGGCCTCAGTATCTTGGCAGCCCTCCTGCATCAGCTCAGCCTTTCAGGTGCTGAGACTCTTGGCCTGCACCACCACATCCTCCTAATAGGGAACTTTTCTCATTCTCGTTTTGAGACAAAGTGACTGAGGCCAAGAAATGCTGTCACCCATCCAGTGTGACGCAGCTTCGGAAGTGAGAGCGGCACAGGTGGCCGTTCTCACATGTACACATATCAGACAGTGAATCTAAGAGTTGACAATAGAGATAAATATGTCCTGTTAGAGAGCATGCCTGCTGTACGGCGCAGGCCGTGGGTTCGATTCCTGCACCACAAACCAGCACATTATTTAGTGTGTGTGACCCACCCATTGCCACAGCAACTGCACACTGGAGAGAACTCTGGCCCTGCATCCTGCAGCTCACTGCCGCTGTCCAGAATAACTTACTACATATCCCTAGGTTAGGAAAACCTCAGGATGCAAGTTAGGGAATGGTACTAACCCGTTTGGTTAATTATTTGGAAAGTTAATATCTTTTCCTCGCCCAAAATCTTGTGCTTAAGAAGCACTTGAATAAAACTGCTGGCATCAAATACCAACGCATTGATGGTGGTCACTTATTAACGAAGAGGCAGAACCCCCGGCTGTATCTGTTCCCGTTGGCACTCGAGATTAAAAGATTTCTGCGGTCGCATTCTTGGCTTCCAACCTGCCTTGCTCCTTAGTATATTTGTATGCACAGTAAGCACATGCGCTGTGGCTCGCAGGTGGAGGGAGTTGAGCCGTTCAGCAGCGGCAGTTTGCGTCACATGCCCATGTCACAGGTGTCCCATGCTCCGCTGTATTCAGCACTCTGGTTATTTTTAGGTGCTGGCTCACCTCCTTCCTTCAGCTAAGCGTGCACTCCGAGCTAATTCTTTACACCCACTGACAGGCACTGGCACCCTGTGATATGCTTTTCAATGTGGCACTAAATCGAGTTGGCTCCCATGTGCTGTTACTAAGAGATGATTGGAACTGCTGGCACTGGCACTGGCACAGAATGCTAGGCCATTAGTAAGTGAGATGATGTCAGTTTAGGTATTGAAAAATGCAAATAAGGGCTAGCTGCATGGTGGCGCATTTCTGTAATCCCAGCACTCTGGTGGATCTTTGTGTGTTCGAGGCCAGCCTGGTCTACAAAGTGAGTCTGGTACAGCCGAGGCTACACAGGAAAACCTTGTTTCTAAAGCAAAAACAAAAACAAAAACAAACAAACAAACAAAAAGCTAATAAGGGTTTTATGGGCTCTTACATGCTCATGTTAAAGAACAAAACAAAAAAAAAAACAAAACTTTTTTTTAGAAAACATGTTTAAGTAAAAAAAAAAAAAAAAAAAAAGTAGATAAAAATTAGTGTCCATGCTGGATACAAGGCTGTCATACCTTTGACCTTGGGGTTGTTTCATGTGGGCAGACTCTTCGTCATAAGACTTGGCTGCCTTTCCTGCTGCTTGGAGCCATCCTAATCCTTCCAGGTTGTAGACCAATCAAGGCTCCAAGTTCAACTCCAAAGTGAACTCACCCTTGGAGGTTTAAATTGGATCACTGTCCCAGAAGCTCTCTGAATTATAACTTGAAGACATACACTGCCATTGTTTGAGTCGGTCTGTGTCTTTCTGTTTCTGTCTGTCTCTCCTTTGTGTGTGTGCGTGTGTGTGTGTGACCACATTCCTTATATGACCACATATATGACGACATTCCTTACCTAATATAAAGGCTTGCACTCTCGTCCGTGACTTTTACTGAGCCACCTTCGTTTCATAAGGAATCTTTGTATCTTTCTCTTGATCATCACTGAATACCAAACTCCAGCATTCTTGAGGGTTTTAGCCATTGGATGCTTGGCCATTTGTAAATGGCTTTCATAGGGTAGACTGTGCTAAGCCATCCTTGTGTAGCTCAGGGTACTATATCAGAGTTACATTATTTATAACCAGACACTTGGTGAGCAATTTGAACGAGAAGATGCTTTATTTTCGCACACAGACCGTCCTGGCAGGGAAGGCATGGTAGCGGGATTGTAAGGTCACTTGCTTATGTCTTTGTAGTTTGGGCTGGGAAAGCCAGGAAGTAAAGCCAGCTATAATGTAAACACCAAGGCTTACTCCCCACCCCCATGACCCACTCGTCTAGTGAGGCTTCATGTCCTAAAGGGTCGACAGTCTCCCCAGATAGTGCTGCTGGCTGGGACCCGCATGTTCAGATCTCGAGAGCCTGTCGGATGCTTCACACTCAAACCGCAGCAGGAATGAATGGCTGACTTTGTGTTTCTAGTCTCTGGCTGATGAACTTGCCCTTGTGGATGTCTTAGAAGACAAACTCAAAGGCGAGATGATGGATCTGCAGCATGGGAGCTTATTTCTTCAGACTCCGAAAATTGTGGCCGATAAAGGTAGGTAGTTTCTCTGCGTGAATAGAGTTACAGGAAGGTAATTTTATTACAAACAGATACTTGGGACATGGGGAAAGTTCCTAAGGGTGAGTCAGAGGGCATTAAATGAGAAAATCATTGCTTTGAAGCGTCAATATCCCTTGTGATTTACACATTAAAAAAAAAATCCTTAAGTCAATCCTACATCATGATATGTTCCTGCTAATCTGGAACACTTGTACAGAGATTAAAACCTCATTTTTTTTTCTTTTCAATTTAGAAAAGATGAAAAGTTGATCAGGATGAAAAGTTGATCATCCACTTTTAACTTACAGCTGTTACTCTCTGGTGCTACAGATCAAACCCAGGGCTTTGCAGGATTCCAGGCTAGTGCTCAGGGTATCCCTGGAGTATTCACTTTTAAACTTTTGTTTGTTTGTTTTTTCTTGGAGACAGGGATTCTTTGTATAGCTGTGGCTGTCCTTGAACTCACTCTATAGAACAGGCTGGCCTCAAACTCACAGAGATCTACCTGCCTCTGCCTCCCAAATGCCGGGATTAAAGACATGCACGACATTGCCTGGATAGACTATTTTTTAGTTAGGAAAGGTTGAAATTGTAGGGCAATGGTTTTCAGTAATTGTTTACAACAAATGCTCAGGATCTATTGTAGTAATTTCATAGACTACAAAATTTCCCTCTACTTAGCATTGGTCCCCTGTTTTGTTTTATTTTTAATTTAAAATTTGTTCTCAATTTTACATTTGGTAGAATGTACAGTCATTAAAAATGAGATTCTTCTCCAGGTCTGCGGCCACATCACCAGAAGAAAATTACAGATTGTAACACGTTCCCTGTGTGCATCTTCGTCATACAGGCCAACTTTTCCACGTCAGCTTCTAAAATCCATTTTCTGGAGCTTCCGCTGCTAGGCTCTCGTAGCGTGTGAACATTTTGTCCCGAGAGGCCGTGTAAAATGTGGCCCTGCACTCCACATGCCAGTTGTCACCTTCATGAGCTTTATTTCCCAAGCACGTGCCCTTCGTTCATTGTGGTTGCTTGCATCACATCTCATGGAATCTGGTTTATCCGGAACTCACCATGCACTTGAGGCCTGCCCCTCCTAATTGCTGTGCAGTGCTAGGCCTGGCAACGCAATTATATTTCTGAAGTGAAAGTTTAGATGCATTCTTTAAAAAAAAAAAATCCTTTTAAAAACCTGCCTCTCAAAAGTAAGAAACCTCCAGCAGGGCATGTATGCAGTACCTCAGTGGTCCCAGGGTCATCTTCCAGGGCCTCAGCTCCCTTCTTCTTCCTGTTCTGCCAATACAGTGCTAGGAGTTTCTTCCTTTCTTCTGTGTCCAGCAACTGGTTGCCTTGAAGAAAGGAGATACTAGCCATTACTTACTGGGTAGTAACCTTCAGGGCCTGCGTCAGGTGATTGGGTCATTTCATCCTCGCCTTCAAAACACAGTTGTATGGTACAAACAGTACTGTACCCTGCATTTTATGAGAAAGACTGTTAATAACTGCCGGAAGTACTATTACAACCCAGGTTATTGATGAGAATAAACTGTTGCATTGGAATTTGCTTATCATATCAAATCTTAGCCTGTATATCTTGAAAAACTGAAATACTGACATGGCTCCTTAGAAGGAAAACAAAATTCTTAAAAAATTAACACTGCTAGAACATAAAGGGAGGGTGGGATCGGGAGGGGAGGAGGAAGGGGCTTATGGGGGGATGCAAAATGAATAAAGTGTAATTAATAAAAAATTAAAAAAAATAGGAAAAAAAATAATCTTCCTTAACAAATATGACTGGGCATGGTGGCGCACACCTTTAGTCCCAGCACTCAGGAGGCAGAAGCAGGTAGTTCTAGGCTGGCCTGCTGTACATGGTGAGTTCCAAAGTTCCAAGCCAGACAGCACTGCACAGTGCCAGTGTCTTACACATGCCCACATTCAGGGATGCAAATGCAAGGAAATCTTGGGTTGGGTTTGGTTTGGCTTGGTTTTTTTTGAGACAGGTTTTCTCTGTGAAATAGAGCCCTGTCTGGATAGGACTCCACTCAGTTTATAGACCAGGCTAGCCTCGAACTCACAGATTCACCTGCCTCCGCCTCTGCCTCCCACAGGCTGGGATTAAAGGTGTGTACCACCACCACCTGGCTCAAATAAATCTTTTAAAAACACAATCTTTAATTACAAAAATATTCAGTTCTCATAAGTTTTGGGAGATTTTCCATGGTGAAGCTTCTAGAACATACCAGAGATGGCATGTCTGGCCAAGGAGTTGAATTTAAGGTTCACCCTGTTGTCGTCTTTCTTCAAGATTACTCCGTGACAGCCAATTCTAAGATCGTGGTGGTGACTGCAGGGGTCCGCCAGCAGGAGGGGGAGAGTCGACTCAACCTGGTGCAGAGAAACGTCAGCGTCTTCAAGTTCATTATTCCTCAGGTCGTCAAGTACAGCCCCGACTGCACCATCATTGTGGTTTCCAACCCAGGTACTAACAGGCTGCTTTAACCGGAATGGTGGCCTGTCTGGTTCCAGACGTCTGGGGCGGGGGACTCATTGTTTTGGGTTTGTTCACTAACAGAGGCGGCCCACGTATCCTTTGTTACTGGTAAAGAAAGATGGTATTTGTGAAGCAGATGCCTCCATCCCAGGCCAAATGTTCAAAAATGTGAGAAGTCTTGTCTTGTGGGTTTTCATCTGTGTTTGTGTAGAGTTGTGAGGCTTTACACGTTTAGATGATGTGAAGGTGGAGCTGGGAGATGACTGAGTTAAAGTACATGCTATGAGAACATGATCATGTCAGTGAGGATTCCCAGAATACACATTCCCAGGCTGGGAGACCACATCATTAATTTCAGTGCCAGGGAGACAGAGACGGGAGGATCCCTGGTACTCTTGGCCAGCCAGCCTCACCAAATTGGTGAACTCTGGGTTAGCTAGGAAATCCCATCCCAAAATAAGGTGGGAGCAACTGAGGAAGACTCAGTGTAGACCTTGGCCTTCACACTCACACAGGCACATGTGTCCTCTCGTGTCCAACACACTGCAGCCCATGACACCACCTGTGTAGTCTAAGAAATAAAAAAAAACTATGCGAAGCATTGTTTATAGCCTCTTCTGGGCCTTATTGGCCCAGGATAAAGATCAGTGCAGACTCACAAAGCAAAGTACACATCACTGTGCTGCCACTGAGCCATTCACTTGAATTGATAAGTCGGGTGCTATAGCCACATGTCCCGAGGGGGCTTGGAAGTCAGGGCGTGGAGAGGATGGCTTGCCAGTTAGAAACACTGGCTACTCTTGCAGGGGAGCCAGGTTCAGTTCCCAGCACCTATATGGTGGCTCACAGCCTTGTGTAACCTCAGTTCTGATGCCCTCTTCTGGACACTGCATGTAGCATACAGACAAAGAGGTAGGTAAACTCCGGTAAAATAAAAATAAATATGGAATCATGTCTTGTAACCTGGTATCAACCAATTATTTTTTTCTTTTTCTTTTTATTACTGTTGTTTAAAACAAACAAACAAACAAAAACGTACCTTTGCAATGGCTGAGCTGGTTTTTGCTTTGACGTTTTCTCTCCATAGCCTTTTTTTTTCTGTTTATAAAAAGAAAGTTTTCTAAAAATAGTTCAGGTCATGTAACTAAATTATATTTTGTTATGTGCCAGACCAAATGGTTAAAGTTAAGTCTCTGTCATCAGCTCCTTTCCCCCCTTTCTTTTGGGTGTACTGAACACTATATGGTAGGCGAGCATTCTGCCACTGAGCCTGTCACCCAGCTCAGTGTCGCACATCTTTTGTCTGTCATTTACCATCAAAGTTACTGCATGATGGTGAGCACAGATGGTATATTGGTAAAATGGTAGCACTGCCTCGAATCCTTCGTCTGAGGGGTTACGACTAAGCCTGGGTGGGGAGTCAGTGCACTTCCCTTACTACTGGGAGTTGGGACCTGAGAGGAGATGGTTTCTTTATTCTCATTCTTCATGAGCCTGGATTGGGGCTTCCTGAATGGCTCAGTCATGTACATAAACACATGTGGCAGATAGATATGGACCAGAAATGGCAGACTGCTAGCTGTATTCCATGTGTCCCCATCCTGCTGCACAGGTGATTACATCACTTCAGAGGCAGAGCTTCAGAGTGTGAATCTCCAGAAAAGCATTTCCGGTGCATTAAAGTCAGCAAATGAAAGGCATGGTCCAGTCAGAGTGTGTGCCTAAAATACCTTCGCCAGGCTTCAAAGAGGACAGCAGGGGTGGGGATTGCCAGACCTGCTGCCAGCTTTTCTGCCAGGGTGCACATCCCTTCTCATCCAGCACAGCCTGTAGCTTCTGTGACCCAGAGAAGTTTTTTACCACCGTGTCACACAGATGAATCCAGCCGTGGGATAGTAATGACATGGATTCCATGATAGTTTATGGGACAGTTTCACAGTTGAGAAGATGTATACTGGCCACTTTGCTAACTTAGAAATGGCGTTTGTGATGACAGCCGTCACCATTATTAGACTGTTAGAATAGGTGGCAATCTGAGTGAGTCACTGTCCTCTTGCTGTGAAGAGACGCCATGACCACAGCAGCTCTTATAAAAGGGAGCATTTAATTGGGGATTGCATGTAGTTTCAGGCATTTAGTCCATTATCGTGGTGGGAGCAGGCATGCAGATGGACACTACATCCTGAGCCGTGGGCAGAGAGAGGAAGTCTGGGCCTAGCATGGGCTTTTGAAACCTCAAAGCCCACCCCCAGTGACACACTTCCTCCAACAAGGCCACACGTCCTAATGCTTCTAATACTTTCAGTGTCACTCCCTGGGGACTAAACTTTCAGCTTTGTGAGCCAATGGAGGTCATTCTTATTCAAACCACAGTGAGGGCTGGACCAACTCTTTTTCTTTCTGTCAGTGAAGCTAATTGACTTGCAGAGCTCCTACTCAGGTAATGATGCATAGGCACAGTTTTTACATATTTCATGTTTACAGCTTCCAACTTAACTGCCTGACCCGACTATGAAATGTTGAGTTACACACCTATTTCTGGCCACGGCTCCCTAGAGAGACAGGTGTGTTTGGGAGAGAGAAGCCAGAGCACCTACCAGTTGGTTCCAATGTACTTTCCTTATTTTTTCTAAAACGTTTAGTGGACATTCTTACGTATGTCACATGGAAACTGAGCGGGCTGCCAAAGCACCGTGTGATTGGAAGCGGGTGCAATCTGGATTCTGCTCGATTTCGCTACCTCATGGCCGAGAAGCTGGGCATTCATCCCAGCAGCTTCCACGGATGGATTCTGGGCGAACATGGAGATTCCAGTGGTAAGGAGAGGAGTTTCCTCTGTGCCTCCCGGTTACTCAGACTGCTCTTGACTCTTCTGCTTCGTTGCACATTTTTGTTTCCTGTGCTTTGCTATATTTCTGAAAGGGTTCAGAAGTAGCAGAGTTATGTTTCAAATTCTGTTCGTTTGCTTTTTATTTTGTCATCTATTCTTCGGTCCACCTAGCTCTCTTTTGTTTGTTTTAGAGACAGTCTCTTTGTATGTATGGCTCTGGCTATCCTGGAACTGACCATGTAGACTTTGAACTCAGAGATCTACCTACCTGCTTTCTCTAGTGCTGAGAGTAAAGGCTGTCCGCGGCCGTGCCGGCTCCATCTAGCTATTTTTAAAATATCTGTGTGAACACCTGCACACATGTAGAAATCAGACAATTTTCAGGAGGTGGTTTTCTTCTATCATGAGGGTACCAAGAATCATACTCAGGCCACCAGGCTTGGCAGCAAACATCTTTACTTGCCGAGCCGTCTTGCCTTTCTCACGCTATTCATCCATTAAAAAGGAATCGGTCATGCGGTTCTCTCCCTATATCCTTTAATGCGTGCTTTCTTCTGTTCTTTCTTTTCCTCCTCCTTGTTTGCTTTTTTGTTTGTTTTGCTTTGTTTTGTGGTTTGTTCAGGTTGGCCTAACATTCTCAGTAGCAGCAGATGCCCTTAAACTCTGATCCTCCTGCCTCTGTCTCCTCATTGTTGGGATGGACACTTAGGGACTTTTATTTTTTATAACCACAGCACAGGAAGCAAAATCAGAAGATGTAACTTTGATCCCATGTTTAATGCACAGGCCGTTTGCAAATGTCACCCTCTTAGGTCCTGTGAGCCCTTTCCCCATCTGGGCCCATCATGAATTGTACCTCATTCTGTTTCCTGAGTCTCCCTTAGTCTGGGGCCATTCTTGTTTTGCATGTTTTCAAGATGCTGACAATTTTGGAGTGTGACTGTCCATCCATGTTTGCTTCTGAATAGCTTCCATGCTTCCAGATAAGTACTATGCAGGCGGGCTCTCCGGCTGTGGCGCCTCTGCCATGCTTTCAGGTGGATATGCAGGGCTTTGCTCCCTCACTATTGTGTCAGTTTTCCCATTTCCATCTTGACCTGTAACGAGGCCATGGAATTAATTGGCCATGGAATGAAAGGAAAGTCATTCCTTCTTGGGACAGATTAGACAGATCCATGGTTTTCCATGAGTTAGCCTGGCACAGGAGACATGGTGGACCAAGGGGGTCTTATAGTTTAGTTGCCACAGTGTGCACTTGCAGTACACTGTAGCTGAGCCACTGTCCATGCCGTCTGAGTAACCAGTGTTCTCTGAAAGTCCCTAAGAAGCATGAGACAGGGAGTTCAAAGTTCAGTTCCCATGTTTGTTTGTAGACATTCTCCCCTAAATTAAGAAGACCCTAATTAATGATAGCTGTGTCGGGTATAATTATCCTACTTTTTTTCTCCTTAGGAAGAAAGGGGCTTTTGTTACCAAAACATCCCCAGTGGAGAAGTTTATATTTTTAAAATTGAGTGTTTTAGGATGGCCCTAAACTGTAATCCTTTGTGATTTTTTACAAACCTAGAGATTTGGAAAGAATTTTATGTTCTCTATGAACGATGCAATGACTGTTTTGAGCCTCGTCTGTTGGAAGTTAAAAGGTCAGTAGTAGAAGCTGGAGACTGGCAGATGGCCCAAGTTCAGTGTCTAGCACTCACGTCAGGTGGCTCGCAGCTGCCTGCAGTCCCAGACCCAGGTGTTTTGAATCCTCTTCTGGACTTTTTGGCAACCTGAACATAGCCACACACGTGTGTACATAATAAAAAAAAATGAAACATTTTTAAAGGTCAGTCGATTGCTAGTTAAAGGCAAATATCAGAACAACTATCTCTCCAAAGGGAAAGGCAGCTCTACCAGAGACAATTGCCATTAGAATGGTGCCAACCTGTGTTGGGATAATTTGCATCAGAGTTGAAATCTGAGATAAGAAAAACAAAAAGGTTTGTTTTGTTTTCACAGTGGCTGTGTGGAGTGGGGTGAATGTGGCAGGAGTCCCCCTCCAGGAGCTGAATCCAGAAATGGGAACGGACAATGACAACGAGAACTGGAAGGAAGTGCATAAGATGGTGGTGGATAGGTGAGTTCAGGAGAGATCCTGTCCCGCCCAGGCACATAAAATCCTAAGCTGTTTCCACACTTCCTGCTCAGATGGCTCTGCACCTTATGAGAAAAAAAGATTTTTATAGACCAGTCGCACTTGCTCTACAAGTCTCCAGAGAATGCAAATGGGTTTGCTGTGGAGGTAAGCATGCAATTGCCTAGTGAGAGGGGCCTTCACCTTGCCACCTGTCAACAAATAAGGCCTGGCTCCTCCACAGTGGTAAGCTGAACCCTGTTAGGCACAGCACCACATGTACACACTCTGGAAGTGTCTAGCCAACACTGTTCTTATCCCCTGCCCCTACCCCATTAAAGATGTCTCCCACCTTAATCTTGTTTTCCAAAAGCCATTTCTTGTTACCAACCACTCTCCTTTATGGTCTTCCTGCCCCAAATAATATATACGTTTGAAATACAGCCCATAATACCGGCTTGCACTCAGATTCTGACCCTGAAGCTAACTATAGTGCCGGAGGCCATTTAACCTTCAAGATTATCGTCACTCTTCTCCCAGGTGCATTAAGTGTGGGTCATAACTGTCCATAATCTTGCCCTCTCTGGACACCTTAGTGTGTGTAAAGTGTAAGACTGTAGACTTGTCAAGACGAATCCAGCCACATATTACACTAAGGGACACATACTTATCACTAACCAGCATTCAGAAAGTGTTACTATTGCAAAGAGGTTTTTGTTTTTGTTTTTGTTTTTGTTTTTTTTTTTCAGGAAGATTGCTGCCTCAAATATGGAAGTTTTATTTAGAATGCTTTTTCTTAGGCTTGTGTATAGAAAAATATCTGAATGTTGGGAAAGTCCTTAGATTTTCAGTTCCGTTAATGCCTCGACTTTATGAGTGAGCTGACTGTCCATCTGAGTGGCGGCCTCACCTATCTTTCATTGCTTCCTAAATTCACTAATATATTTGGAAGTATACTTGTATGTAAATTAATGTTGGTTGGATACGTTTTTAAGGATTTGAGAGATTCCTTATCAATTAAGAGTATATACTGTCCTGTAGAGGACTGGATTTAAGTTCCCAGTACTCACATCCAGCAGCCCATGATTGCCTGTAACTCCAGCTCCGTGGGCATCTGGTACCGCTGGTCTCTTGATACTGGCATTCATGAATGCACCCTCAGGCACACAGACATATGGACACACAATTAAAAATATACTTGAGAAGAATATGCATTCTTAAACACTGTGATATCATAAACATTCTCCGACACCTATGTGTCACCTGCCATTTAGTTCTTACACTTATTTTATTTGCACATTAATTCCCTTGATGTTTGGAAAGAAAGATGCATCTTCTCCTTTACTAAGAAAAGGAAGTAAAGCCAAAAACATTCAGAAACTGGCCAAGATGAGCAGTAGTCAGAGACAGAGCAGGCACCAGCCACTGTCAGGTCTCAGTGGTCTCTCCTGTGGTCCGTTTTCTGTCAGGCTCCAATGGTCTCTCCTGTGTCTTGTTCTCTGTTCTCTAGTGCCTATGAAGTCATCAAGCTAAAAGGCTACACCAACTGGGCCATTGGCTTAAGTGTGGCCAACCTCATTGAATCCATGCTGAAAAACCTATCTCGGATTCACCCCGTGTCTACGATGGTGAAGGTGAGCGAGTGCTGCAAGGTGCAGCAGGATGTCTAATCTTATGTTGCATAACGAGGCTCGTCTAAGAAAGACCAGGGAAACTTCCAGTTCACAGTTACTTCCGCATCTAGTGTTTATAAGCTTATTCTTTCTTTCCAACCAAAGTCTAGGACAAAAATGCTTAACTTTGTGGGAGCTAAAATGTCTGGTTTGTTTTCTTGTATGCTGTAAAACTATTAACTATGAATCCTATTCAGAACCTACCTCTACTATACCATTAAATCAGCGTATAATAGTTTCGTCATAAGTTTATGTAATAAACTATAGACAGACCTTCATGTAGTGCTTGATAACATAGCAAAATTAGCTTAATTTAAAAAAATATGAAGCAAACATACAAGAGGCAAAAAGAAACTGAGCTGGAAACTGGGATTTATCTCAATTGAGAGAGTGCTATGAGGCCCTAGGTTCCATTCCCTAGAACTGTTCAAATCAGGTGCAGTTGTGTGGATTTATTATCTGAGCCCCGAGGATATAGACACAAAAGGACCAGAAGTTCAAAGTCCTCCCGAGCTTCATAGCAAGCTTGAGATGAACCTGAGCTGCATTACCTCCTTGGAATGAAATTCATTGAAAAAAGTAAAGTTACATTGAAACAACATAAATAGCAAGTGAGTCATTACCACACATCAATGTCAAGAGTGAAAAAAAATGATGAGCTGTCATAGGTGGGATCCCAAGACCAAGCTAGCTGGCTGGGCACCCTGAATTGGCAAGATCTGAGTTTAAGTGAGAGATCCTGCCTTAACACTCAAAGTGAAGAGCTGTCAAGGAAGACATCTGATGACAACTCTGACTTCTAAATGCATGCATACACACACTCACACAGAAACATGCCTGCACATATGCATGCCACACATACAGAAAGGTATTTTAGGAGTACAGCATGGCACCAGATGTTTGGTGTTTAGAGTACTATGCACAATTTACAAGGCGAGTATGGGAAAACTTGAGTAACTGTTGACTTTGGGGGAGCATGCAGAAGAATGTTTTTATTTGAGGTCAGTAGTTTTAAAAATTAAGAGAACCTGTTAAATATAATTAATCCATTAGTTATATAGGGAAATTGACACTGTAATCAATTCCCTTATTTAAAGTGGCAAAGCATTTGAGAAAGGCTAAAATGAGAAAAGTTAACTACTATTCAATTCCAGTTCCAGTGGATCTGGCTTTTGTAGACACCTGTCCTCATGTACACATAAACTCACAGACATATTTAAAAAACAAAAACAAAAACAACTTTGTATTGTTGTTGTTTGGTTTTTGAAAAACAAAAAGGTTTTTTGTGTAATCCTGGTTATCCTGGAACCTGCTCTGTAGATCAGGCTAGTGTCAAATTTAGAGATTCCCAAGTGCTGGGGTTAAAAGCATGCATTATAGGCACCAAAAATAAAATCAAATCTTGGATAACAAAATGAGATAGTCATCTGCATTTATGGCATTTATCCATTGAGGAAAACAGTTTAAAAAACATTTAAAGATTCATATAGCAAATTGTTCTTAAGCAGAAAACAATGTCTGACTTAAAAACTTAAGTACAGACTACTTTCTTGAAGCTGGTTTTATTGTAGAGTAAGTTTTCACAGTCTATAAATATAAAACTGGATTCAAAACTTCAGTGTACGGAGAACATATGGACCAGTTAGATGAAAAATAGAGAAGGAAATTGTGTTTATTGGATCCAACATAATCCTCTGGTTACTCATGCCTCATGCCTTGTCTAAACACTTTTGTTGCTGTCACAGGGCATGTATGGCATTGAGAACGAAGTCTTCCTCAGTCTTCCTTGCATCCTTAATGCTCGGGGGCTGACCAGCGTCATCAACCAGAAGCTGAAGGACGAGGAGGTCGCTCAGCTCAGGAAGAGTGCAGACACACTCTGGAACATCCAGAAAGACCTAAAAGACCTGTGACTGCCAGGTCCTAGGCTGTAGAAATACAAACCTCCAATGTGACTAACCATGAACCTTTAGTTTTTTGCTTCTTCCCTGACATGTGATATGAGCTCACAGTTCAAAGCCCAGGCTTGTTTGATGTTTGCACTTGGAGCTCCTGAACAAATAAAGTTATCTATGGCAGCATACTTCTATATGTCTTTCTCTGGCTTACTTGCAATGCTTCTCCCTTTGTAGCCAGGACTAACCTTGAACTTGAGCTCTTCTAGCCTCAGCCTCCTTGGTTGTTGAGATTAGAAGCTCAGCTTGTGTGCTTCTCCTTTGTTCAATGCTTTATGAAAAGTTGTGATAATCTTCCTGCGCTGACAATGTCCCTAGAGCCCACCATCTACATCCCTGTAACCACCTTCCAGACAGCACCAGAATATTCAGTGTGTCCCATAATTTTCATGTTTTGCGAATATGGTTACATTTTTGGAGATGTTTGATTGTGTTCATGTGTAGGTATGTGCACATGAGGCCGCATGGGTCAGAGGCCTTGAGGCCAGAGTCACAGGTCACCTGTTACCAGTTCTGGGAAAAATACGTTCTTAACCACTGAACCATCTCACCAGCTATGACAACAGTTTTCGGGGTATAGCCAGGGAAATAATTGGTGTGTGTGCCTTTTATATAAGGTGGTCTGTTTTAATTATCTGAAAGGAAGAAGACTTTTTCTGAAATTGTAAATGTGTTGGAGTTGTCTTAGATAGTGAAAGAAAAGGAATGTTTGAGCTGAGTCACACAGACCCAGGTGTTGGGAAGGCAGTATAATATGGAAACTCGGAGGTATGTAAGGCAGATTGACTTAACTGGTCCCAGTTTATGTGAGCTGTCTAGGACTGAGTTTGGGGATGGCTAAAAGCTATCATAACAACCCTGGGTTTGGCATTCGGCTCTGTCCTCCATTGATTGCAGTCTGGGAAGGTTGCCTGCTGTGTAACCAAACCTAAGCCTTAATTCCTACATCCATGAACAGTGACGGTGATGGTTTCTCAATATGAATGCTTTACCACATTTCTGATTGATCTCCTGTGCCGAGGCTGAAGCCCAGGGCCCGGCAAGAGCTGTGTGACTGCTGCATCACTAGCCTGAGCAGTAGAGACAAAATGAGAAAACTAGGTAGAACTCTAAGTACAAGGCTTGGCCATATGGAGGCTAACAGAAGTGCTTACTGTTGCAGATGTTTGCAGACGTCAGCCTCCCAAGTTATGAAGTATTTCTTCTCCTTAGCACTAGTGATACTTTGGACTGGATGGCACTTGGGTGTAGAAAGCAGATGGTGACATGTTTGGCACCAGCCCTGATGGTCACCCACAGACCTGACAGGTGACCATAGACACCTTTTCTCAATGCACTCTCGAGGTTCTTTCTGTTTTTTTTTTTTTTTTTTTTTTTTTTTTTTTTTTTTTTTTTTTTTTTTGTTTTTTTTTTTTTTTTTTTTTTTTTTTTTTTTTTTTTTTTTTTTTTTTGAGACAGGGTTTCTCTGTGTAGCCTTGGCTGTCCTGGAACTCACTCTGTAGACCAGGCCCACCTGGAACTCAGATATCCACCTGCTTCTGCCTCCCTGAGTGCTAGGATTAAAGGTGTGTGCCACCACTACCCGGCTTACTCTAAAGACTCTTGCAGCCATCTCCAAATGTTCCCTGGGGGCGGGGGCAAAGTCACCCTGATTGAAAACCACTGCTCTGCAGATTTGCTCCTCCATTTTCCTGTGAGGAATCCAGAGATGACAGCCAGTGCCCAAACAGTGAAGATTCAACCAGACCCGTAGCTTCTAAACTCCAGCCCTGCCCACCATGTTCTGCAGGAAATACTGCTTCATAACACTTCTTGTTCCAACATCTCTGAGGATGTTTGTGTTATGGGAAGTAAGACCAAGACAGGCATTAAATTTATTTTTTCAAAGCACATTTCCAAAAGGATATGTTTGTATTAAGACCATTTCTGTAAGTACAGAGGTCAAGTCTCAGCTTCAGTTCTTTGTCGGAGTTTCTAAGTGAACACTGAGTTTACAGCGAGCTGTTGGTTTCCAAGAACTTAAGAGAATTCTTAACTATTGATGAAGCTCCCGCATAGAAATGCTGCCGTGGAAGTCAGCGCCTTCGGGCTGAGCAGGAAGCAGAGCCTGCTCATCTAGTTTTGGAACACTGTTCAGTGTCAAGCAAAATGAAGCAAACCATAGCAGGAAGCCATGACACATTCAAAGAACCAAGCAGCAAGTGTTCTGAGTATTATCTGGAGTAAGTTACAGGACAGAAGTAGTCCAAGGCTTGAGGAAAACAAAATGTGTAAAAGTGCATTGTATGTATATGCCACCATTTTAAAAGTTATGCTTATTTTAATTGTGTATATGTGAACTCACTCATGAAGGTCAGAAGGTGTCAGAGCCTCAGTATCTGGGGCTGAGGGTGTCTGTGGGTGCTGGGAGTGACACCAGGACCTTTAGGATGGCAGCAAGTGCTCTTCTGTGACATCTTTCAGCCCTACTTCCATGTTTAGTACAGCAGGAGGACACTAGTCCAGATGTTAGATTTAAAGATTCATAGCTCTCCAAATACATGTGATGATGATCATGGTGTCAAAAATTTTCCCCTCTTAATTTTTCTTAGTCTTTGTTGATGTGGGGGATTGAATTGAGCACCTTGCTCATGTTAAGTATGTGCCCTGCCCCTGAGCCATAGTTCTAAAGAATCAGACTCTAGACTAGGTAACGTTTGGAAACGTGAATTTTGAGCCTGTAGTCCTCCGTGTAACAACACAGTGGTCAAGTCCACAGTGTGCCAGTTCTGAAAAGCAGACATTGTGGAATGCGAGGTGGTAGTTTTCAATACACACTTAAATATGTGGAAGGGATAGCCTGAAAGCATGGATAGCCTGAAAGCATGAATAGCCTGAAAGCATGGATAGCCTGAAAGCATGGATAGCCTGAAAGCATGGCTAGCCTGAAAGCATGGATAGCCTGAAAGCATGGCTCGGAAAAGGTGTAGCATACATTAATATGTTACCCTACGCAGGGGCCACGTCTATGAGCATGAAGCCCGAAGATGGCTCAGGGGTTAGGAATAGTACCAGCTGCTCTTTCAGAGGACGTGGCTTCGATTCCCAGCATGAATATGACAGGTCTCAACTCCAGTTCCAGGGGATCCAGTGACCTCTTCTAGATTCTTCTGGCAGCAGGCACATGCACAGTATACAGACATACATGTAGGCAAAATGCCCATATATGTAAAATAGTTTTAATTTTTAATTACAAAAACGTATGTTTTGGAAAATTCTTTCATTGCCTTAAAGTTTGGAAGGCTTCTCTAAGGTTCAAACTCTGTGCCTTTTCATAAGAGAAACAGGTTTCTTCCTGGAGAAACAGTGTCCAAGGGAGACAGCAGCTGACACAAGGAAATACCAACTCATGCACTGGCCAAAGAGCTAGCCACCCAATGAAATTAGGATTTAATTATGAAAACAAAATAGTGCAAAAAAGTTCAGGTGCTGTGACGAGGTGGGTTTTTAAAAAACTATTCCATTTGATATTAAATATGTGAGAAAAACTATTCATAAGTGAATTAAAACCATCTTGATAGACCACTTTCACCTAAGAATAGAAGAAAATAATTCAAGGTTTTTTTTTTAAAACCTCGTTTTATACTTGAACTTATTTATGGGGAATGCATGCCACACTCCACGTGTGGAGGTCAGAGAACAACTGAATTGGTTGTCTACTTTCATCATGTTTGAACTGGGGATTGAAATTGGGTCTTCAGGCTTGGCTGCAAGTGCCTTTACCAACTGAGCCATCTCACAGGCCCTCAGTTACTTTTTGAACTCCATAATGTCATGTGAGCCATCATTTTCTTTTCCTGTCCCTTGTTAGTTCACCTGTGCTGATAGCAGTGAGACTTTACCAAGTCAAAACCCATGCATGTTATTACTTGATAGAGGAGGAACAAAGTCCTGCCTCCCTAAGAGATTGGCATCATTTATCTTGAAACAGGAATTCCATGACTAAGGAGTAGAGAAGAGCAGACATGAGTGGCAAATTATTCCAAGATAAATCTAGATTTGGGTAAAAATATCTTTCCGGGAAATATAGAAAGCATGAAGGATTCAAAGGGTTAAAGCAGCAAAGGGAATTTTTATCCTGAACAGGGAGTAAAAATCGGACAGAAGGCTATGACGATGCATGCATGTTCCTGGTTCTCTCTTGCTTTCTTTACCTGAATCTTCCTCTTGCTTTGCTTACCTGACTCTCAGAATACCAATGGCTGTCAGGCTCCCTCACCCCCAGCCTTCAGGGAGGTAAGGCTGCTTGGAACACGAGCCTCCCATCTCATCCGAGCAGCTGTCGCTTTCAATTCCCGCTGACGACATGAATGATTCTAATCAGCTGAAGAGTTACAAGAACAATGTGCAGGGTATTTTTAACAGTGCTTAAAAATAGTTCATACCTCGTAGCTCTCTGCTTTGCAGACAGGCACTATGAGCTGCTTCCTTAACATTTCAAAATCCATTAAAATTATTTCTATTTATTAGCACTTCTATCTTTAATATTAATACACAGCCAGGGTAAGGGGGAAGACTACTGACACATAAGCTTTTGATAAACATTTTAATTGTATGTTAACAAAATAAAATTTGATATTAAAAGTCCCTGCGAGGGGTACTTGCAGGGAGGAGGGGGTTGATGAGGGTGGAAGGCAGATAAGATTGGTTGGGGCCATGATCAAAATACACATATAAAGTTGCAGAATAAATTTAATTTTTAAAAGTCCATGGTAATTCTATATGTCAAGGTAATATTGATATAGATGATGACAAACCCTGGTTTATCTATGTTAACTTTTTAAACTGCAGTAAGTTTATTTTCTGTGTAGGACTGTTTTTACCTGCATGTACATCTGTGTACCACCTGTGAGTCTGGTGCCCAGTTAGGCCAGAAAGGGATCTGGATACCCTTGGAACTGGAGTTATAGATGGTTGTTAGCTACCATGTGGATGCTAGGAATCAAACCCCGGTCTTCAGGAGGAGCAGCGAGTACTCCTAGCCACTGAACACTACTCCAGGCACCTTAAATTTTAATACTCTGTAAGTTCAACAATGTATTCATAAACCAGCAGAAATGACATGACTCATTTCAAACACTCCCTTCAA